TGGGGAATACTATCTTTGTATACCCGGGCCACTTGAAATACGGGCTGAAAGCCAAGGCCCTATATCTCAAAAGGTATTAGTATGTCTATTAAATTGAAACTTTAATTTTATTAATTAAATTATTTATTTGTTTATAATTTAGCATATATACTAAGACTACTTTCAATTGATTACGTCGTGTTATGCTACGCATTCACAAGAGGGTCCGTTGCCTTGTGGATGATTGTCACCATAAACTAGCTAAATGGCTTTGTGAAAACTATCGCGTAATATTACTACCCGAATTCCGCACTCAAGGAATGGTCCGACGTGGACAACGACGCATTAATCCAAGACTGCTCGAGCCATGTGTACATGGTCACATTATCGCTTTTCCAACAGTATTTGATCCATAAGGCACGTGAGCATCCCGTGGTGTCGAGTCGTAATTTGTACAGAAGTAAAACTTGTGTTTAGCTGTCCCAAATGTAAAACAAAGCTTGATAGAGACATTAATGGTGCTCGTAATATTCTTCTTCGATATATTACAAAAAAAGAGTCAGCTTAGGCTGACGCGGGAGCCTATTCCCTGACAGGACTTGTTATTCCTAATTTATTAGTAATGATAGGTTTTAATATAGGCGTTTATAGCATAACATCACAGTGGATTTCCTTCGACTTTTTTCGAGCATTGGTTTGACAGAAAGGCGGTTTATCCGACTTAGTTTTCGTCTTCATTAATTTTCAAGGGAATAATACTACTGTCACCATACTAATTAATTAACACACACGAAGCACAACATGTATATTATTATTAATATTAATAAGGAAATTGGTGTCCAAAAGTATACTCTCGCAAACACACTGTAAAAACAATTCCCCTCATTTTAACTAATTTAACTGCTAACATTAATGTAGAATGACAGACAGTATAATGAATCGAGTAACTGATACTAGTGAAACCAAATCATTACTTAATGGTGCTTCTGTAAAAATTATGGAACAGTTGGAGTTGACCAAGTATACGAAAGACACTGGCATGTTTGCAGATTGTGTTAATGCTCTTGAAGGCATGCTAAGGAGCTTTTTTCAAACTCAGGAGGATTATTCCAAGAGTTTAGAAATTCAGCTGACTGTTCAGCAACAAAGATGTATGGAATTGAATGAGAAATGGAATAGCGCAGAGAATCAAAGTAGAATGTACAAAATTTATCTCGATCAAGCTAGAAAAGGTCTCGACGAAACTAAAAGAAGTCACAATGAAACCATAATAGAGGAGCTCCGTCAGACAATACTACAATATGAGCGTGAGATCAAAGAGTTTGACGAAAGATATGCTCAACAGGTAGAAATTAACGAAAGAAACAAACAAATTATTTATCATTACAAATGTAAATATGATTACGGGATCGATTCCGATAGTGAAGTTGTGTCTTTGCGTCAGCGGATTCTTGCATTGGAGAAGCAACTAGGCGAATTTCAGAGCGAGACAGTAAAGATCAAGACACACGCCGAAAACATGGAGGTTTCTTTTCGTCACGAGTTACAAGAAATGCAACAACGTCATAGAGATGCCGAAGCTAGAGCTGCTGCTATTCAGAAAAAGTATCTTGTACTCAAGGATGATATCACCAAATCGTCCATTGAAAACGGCAATGAACAAGTCAAAGAACTTTCAGCAGGACCTAGTGGCACTGATCCGATGACTGAACTCGAGCTAGAAGTCAGTGTTTTGCACGAGCAGAAAACCGAGTTGGAGAAACAGCTTCGCGCTGCCGAGAATGAAAAAGTAAGGATTAAGAGAAGATCCGAAACTATAGCTAGAGCGGCTGAATTGCAAAAGAGGAGGAGTAGTCTGCTCAAGGAAGAAACTGTTCTTGGTGATACTACCAACGTCAGACAGGACGACAACCTCCCACTCCAACTAACAGTAAATATTTTAAATCTGCAACATAATTTAAAAGAATTAACTAATGTAAAAAGTCGATACATTGGTCTCGATGCGCAAGGCATCACTGCGCTCTTGCAAAAATACAAGTGTCAAACTGACCCTATAGCAAAGCCAACCGTCAGCGGTGCATTACAAAGACATGTTATTGAGAAAGTGTTGCAAGCTACGGATATATATTTCAACGAGAAAAGCAATTTCGATTGGGTACAGTACAATGAGACTGATCTGGACTATTTGCTGGAAATGATTATCTCGAATACAACATTAAATCTGAATCGTTATATAAAACAGTTGTCCGTTCGATGCAAAAGAAATTACGAATCGATGCGTATGACAGAAGCAGCGATAGATCGACAAGTGTATGCCGTACTTGATGATTGCGGTTTTGCGTCCGTCAATCATCCACTTGTAGAACACCTAATCGTAAGTGTATTGACGGATCTCGACAAGTATCGTCAACTTGAGGATGAAACGAAAAGAAAAGGTATCGCTGAATTGGCCTTTCCTATCATCCGTGAGATTATTCGTGTATTTTATTTTAGTTACCGGACCCAAGTCCCTGTTGTTGAGTATCACTTTTTCGCGGGTGGGACCAAGTTCGACCCCGCTGTGATGGAATGTCTTAACGAAAATGACAACGAGGCTGAAAAGCTATTTGTTGAGATATGTTCGTTCCCGCTGATCGGAGTGAATATTAACAATGGGTACAAGAGGCAGATCTTTAACAAAGCGCAAGTCCGAGTGAGATCATTTGGAGCAAACTAGATTTTGACTACAAGTGAGTCTCGATATAACGACAGAAATCTTGGAACGAAAATTTTATATTGCTTAGTTATCGTATGTAAGTTAATTCTCGATATAAGGACATTCTCGATATAGTGACCATTTGGATTGGGAACCGAGCGTGTCGTTATATCGAGACCCACTTGTATTAGGGTACTTAATTAATTAATACAATCATAAGACCCCAAACATAGGTTCGGAATCCTCCAGTCACGTTGAGTAGTCGAGTCATACATGCGTGATCTCCCACCAAATTCTCCCTGACCCTTATTTATTTCTACTGATTGGATTTATTATTTTACTTTTCAGCTCAAGACTGACTGAGATTAGTTTCTATGACTGGCAAGTATATGATTAAAAATAAATTATGGCTTGCGAATTATTATTCTATACTTTCCTCTCCCACAATCGCATCTTTAATAGTAGTAACAACGAGATAGCAGTCAAGTCCTAATATTATGAGACTAATTATACCAGCGATAATAGTAAGCCACAAAGGATTACGGAAATCCACGACAGAGTCCTTGTTATCACCGGACATGTTATTGTCCCGCCCATTGTTTTCATCCGATCTATCATTATCCGTTCCGTTACCATCTCTCAGCAACTTGTTCCTGACGTTTTCAGTATCAATCCTCATTACCTTTGGATGGGCGGTGAAATAAACGAGAGGAATAACAGCAAATGGCAGTTGAATAGACAATGCTACTTGTGACGCAACAAGCAAACTATTCAGTCCACTAGGCCCTTTTATGATAGCAATGGCCATAGCGGGAATAATGGCCAGCCCGCGTGTGATTAATCTCCTCAACCACGGCCGAATACGCCAACCGGTGAAACCTTCCATAACCACCTGCCCGGCCATTGTAGCAGTCAGAGTGGACGACTGTCCGGCAATCAACAGTGCTAGTGCAAATAATATTCCGGCAGCTGGACTAAGATAGCGAGATAACAATCGGTGAGCATCGAACAAATCGGCTACTTCTTGCTGCGAGTCGGAATAGAAAAAGTTTGCAGCAGCGACAATAAGAATGGCCGAATTGACAAATAACGCAAAGGTCAGGGCAACCGAAGAGTCCAGAACCGACATTTTTATGGTTGAATAAGTGACTTTCTTGAATACTTCGGCAGTAGTCGGGGGAGTCTCCCCGTTGTCCTCTTTTTCAATCATGGCATTGAAGCCGTCTATATGTTCTTTGTTCTTGCGTACCTTTACGAGGTGAGAGTGTAGATAGATATTATGAGGCATCACCGTAGCACCAATGATACCAATTGCAACGTATAATTGCTCGGTATCGGTGAATATGCCACTGCTGGGTAAATATCCTCGTAGCACATCAACAGAATTTGGTTTCGAGTATGCTAATTCCAAGATGAAACACATCCCGACCGTACCGACAAGGAACATCACCAAAGTCTCTAACAAGCGAGCGGCTTTCAAGCTGTCGTCTCTGTAGAAAAGAAGAAGGAACATGACGTCTGTTGCGGTTATTGCAACGCCCCAAGGAAGAGGTATTTTAAAGAGTAAGTTCAACGCAATGGCGCTTCCGATGACTTCAGCGAGATCACATGCGATGATGGCTAACTCGCAGAGGACATATAGAATGTAATTCGTCCACTTGTTAAAATACATGCGGCATGCACTTGCAAGGTCTATAGAACAGTAAAGTGGGTAATTGAGAGAGGAGTTGAGAATGTTTGTTAGTATGTCAAGTATGTTAAATATTTGACCTGATTGTGATCGTAACATTGCAAGCAGGCATTACTGTGTCCTGGATCTGTTTTCATTGATAGCATTCATGATGATACGGTTGGAATACCAACAGCTCTTATCTATAGATCTCATGCTTACCTAGACCAGTAACAATTCCCAATTTTACAGACAATCCCTGCAGAAGCATTGCCATCAAATTAGAACAAAAAACAATAAACAAAAGCGAGTAACCAAATTGCGAACCGCCTGTGTTTAGTACGAGAATACGCATTAGGGGACGGTTTACATATATACAAGTTTATTGAATTTCAATTCAATCCAAACGCTCACCCGACAGATCAGTCGCCCAATTTCCAGGATCAAGATAACCAACAGCAATAACTATGAGAGATGGGTCAATACCTTTTTGACTGAGGGGGAAAAACTTTGTGGCATCAAGTCAAAACAAACATACGATATCCAGGTCCAGCGAATCTGATAAACTTTCGAAAGTTATACCCAATTCGTCTAAACTTTTTCTTAAAGCTTTCTTTCCCTCCACTCCACGAAAACCTCTTCCCACATTTTGACTCTTTATTCTCTTCGACAATTAAATTATCATCAAAAATCACGCTTGCTCCATTCTTCCCTCTGGAATTTGTATCGTGAGATATTGTTTCTTGATGGTAAGCGTCAGAGTGCGAGATTGAGTCATTGACGGACGACTGGACTTGAATTTGAGGGATGTTGTTGGGAATGTTGAATGACGGGAGATTCATTTTTGGGTTCCTGGAGAGAGAGGAGGAGGAGGGCTATCGAATGATGTAGGGGGAAGAAGGTGTGGTGTAATGGAAAGTGCAATTGGAAAGTTTTTTGGGCGTGAGAATAGTGCGACAAATTATTTCCATCTTTCCAAATTTGGTTGAGCACCAAGTATACAATAAACACGAAAAACGCATTATAAAGACAAGTATTGGAAGTGATCTTAATTAGCTTTAGTAAAACAAACAGTCTTTTCGTTTGGTGGAGAGAATGCGTTCCAGTTCCGGACATGAATTCTCTGACCTTTGTTTATAGGATTTGCAGAAACATCTATGATGCCTTTTTCTCTATTCAAGCGGGAATGAAGATCATAACAAGTCAAAATAGGAAACAAACGAAACTTAAATTTGGTGCATTTGTCGATCTATCCAACACATTCGAAGATCCCAACTAACCAAATAAGAAATCACACGCCAAATTAAAAAGCGTAAACAGCTAATGGCTGATACTTTTTTCTAAAAATATTTATCAAAAATCCGGAGTACCATATTTTACCATGGATCAGAATACTAAAAACGAACAGTAAAACTGTTTAACACTGTCAATTCATGCGACTTTCTCGTTACAAACATTTCAGCTTAGCTTACGTAAAGCCACGATAATCTTTGTTGTCAAGATACGAAAGGCGTTACTCTAATATAACATATCCACACCATAAGGTTTCTTAGCACATGCTTAAGTACATATTAATATATAAGCGTTATCCTAGCTGTGATAATGGTTCAATCACCAAAAAGTTGTTATTGCAACCGAGGCGGGCCGTCATTTAGGCACCCGACAAACAGACTTGCTCCGTACTGACACGTAAAGCCACTAGCTTAGCCTCTCTAACAGGAAGTATTCTCTAGCCATATAAATAAGGGTTATATGACACGTCAGAGACATAATTTAAACACAGTGGCTACTTAATAAAATGATGTATTTAATCGCGAGTACGGTTATAATTGTTCCATGTAAACATTCAATGAAATTCACACACAATGTAATTAGAATGTTAATATTGTGAGTTACCCGTTCACACGAAAATTTTCGTTGACGCGAATGAAAATGAAATGTCTGTTTTCCTTTTATGGAATAGTCTGGCGTCGACACTTAAGAGCTACTCGTCTTTGCTGCATACTGCATATTAATACCACTATTTACAATGATATCAATGGTATTGTATAAAGTCTAGCAGGATTATGTACTGGTTAGCTTAAGTGCACAATGATACAATTGAGTAGGGCTTATCAACAATAATCTAGTAATAATATTAACAATAAGACAGGATATTATTTATTTTTCTTTTTTTGGTTTAAACTGACTTGTAGAATATATAATAAAGCTATGACCCAAAGCCTGGGGGATTAGCATGTTTGCCATTGAAACCATCGAAGACGCCACCTCTTTTTCAAGCAGTTTCTCATCCTCAACAATGTTTGCTCTTGTCTAAAACTTTTTAAATGCTCGTGTGTGCATTAAAACTGAGCCTCTGACCCGATTTTTCAGCCCTTGTTCACTGTTCTATCAAGGCTATTCATCAGTTTTTATCAAGAGGTCTTGGCTGCTGCTCTGCATGAATGCAGACATGGTTTTGAAAAAAACATCGCAAGGAATGCAACTTTTCCTTGCAATTACAATTACTTAATGCATTCAAGCAGATATCCCTCTTCCCACATATTCTTTCTTATCCCCACACACAGATTAATGACGGACGATTACAGCAAATTTTTAATCATCAGCCATCGTCAGTATCTACATTTGCTATTGAAGCCATACCACGTCGCCACGTAAATCCAGGGACGGTGATAGATACTGGATCATCGTCATCCATACTTTCCTTTCTATCCTCTTCTTTGAACACACCTTTACCCTTATCGCTACTCCTGGCTATCTGCTCAATTTCATCCTCGCCGCTCTCATCCTCACTTTTATCATTGCTCTCATCCCTGCTTTTATAGTCGCTCTCATCCTTACTTTTATCATCACTTACATCGCTCATCACATCTTTATAGGATACACCACCAAGGGCAGAAGACGCGAGGTAACTTCCGCGCACAGGTCGGTTTGGGGGATGAGCTACAGTTATGGGCGTAGTGGGTACAGGTGTGGACGTGGGTGAAGACGTTGGTGTGATTGTTAATACGAAGGAAGAGTTATCGGAAGATGCAAGCAAAGATGGACGAGCGGGAAGAAGAGGCAGAGAAGATTGTCGGTTTAGATTGTTCCTAATGGGAAAGGATGGTGCGAGAGGATTGGCTGCTGGACTTGGAAAATTAACCTCCGTTTCCCGGGAAGGTGGGCCTCTTATGATTCGTTCCTCGTTTGCTATATCAGTATCCGTAACACCACCTGGGTTCTCTTCTCTTACTTCACGCCGTGCTTTGTAGAGCTCGTGCGCGTATAATATGCGTGTTGCCAGATTTACAAGCAGCATTAGAGAAGAAGACGCTAGTGTTAAAAGCGGTATGAGTGTGTATGTTGGCGAATATGTTTTGTATAGGATCTGGAGACAAAAAAGAAGAGACTTGTTAGCTAACCGGTTTGCAAGCGAAGCGAGTTTGGGTTGAGGATGGGATGTAGTTGGTGTTAAATTAAATATCTTACTCCATCTCTTTTTTTTTTTGCCTCTCTCTCCCTTTTTTCTATGTTTCCGCTTCCATTCACCATTCACGATTTATTTTCGTCCGTCCACAATGCGCAGTCATTTTCATGTCTACATTAAATAGTTATGGAAACATCGTAATTGGTATGCTTGCAAATGTATATTGATCAAGTATCTTCTTACCATGGTTATGGATACTTGTACATTTCAATCGAAAGGGACCTTACGTCATCTTCCATCGTGTCGACTTTATCCAGTAAGAAACATCCCACTACTACCAACCACACCCGCTCGCTCTTTTACAAATTGAACTACATTCTTCTTTACCTGGATAACAAACTGCGGCCAATCTTTGAGCAACAAATTAGCCAAACCGCCCCACATCACCACGCTTTTCTGCTTGCTTGTGACTCTTAATGAGAACATCTTCACACCTCCTGCGTGTGAGTAGAGTATACTCATGATTTCAATGTCGGCGATAGATAAAAAAGCTGTAAAGATTTTTGGAACGACAGAGGATATGGTAGATGCGGATGAAAAATTAGATGAATTGGAGGGAGGGACGGAAGGGGCGGAAGTGAGAATGAAGAATAGGAGAGAGAATAGTGTATTTGGGAGTAATGGAAGAAAGAATGCTATTAAACTGTGCGGGAATTAAAAGAAGAAAATGAGCAAGCGAGTGAGTAATGGTTTGTCTATAACAATTATACCAAGTATATTATTTTATTATACCTTGGCAGTTGGAGCATCAACACATCACTGCTATGATTTATAACGAATAATAAGTCTAATACAGTGTCTGTTATTATTACTCCTACTTTTAGAATTATTATATTATTGCCCTATTAAAATAATGGAAAGGTGGGGGGAAATGACAGATAATCAATAAGGTTTACAACAATAAGCTGATGTCTGTCTCGATCCATCACAATTTTACATGTACTACTACCACGTTTCCCGCCTCCACTTTGACGTAATTGAATCAGACTTACATCTCTATTCCTACAGCTTGCTAGTATGAAAAATATCCACAAGATGACAATATCGACTGCCAATATTATTAGAGGCAGATATGATTTCCATTCCATCACTGGGAGATGGAATATACAATGTTGTGAGAAAACACACTGGCAATGTCTTGATGCAAGTAGAAAAAGATAACGTTCGTTGCTATACTTACCGCCAATCACCTGTCCACTCTTATTCTCATTCTCACTCATCATACGACGACGGAAGAGCAGTAAATTTATCTCTCTTATATTCGTATGTACTGAAAATTGATCACACAGGTCCTAACTTGTATCAACAATTGCTTTTTTATCCTTTTTTTTGCCTGCATTCTTATTATAGTCGTCTCTATTTTAAAACTACAATTGGTAAGATACACAGCAATTAATATGGTTAGCCTCAATTGATTGATAATGAAAAAATACACCGCTACCTTCTTTCACCACATTCCTTTCTTTCTATCTTTGTCCAACGCTCACTTTAAATGTTGTCTACTATATTCCACTTATATTGTTTCGTTTATTTGTCTAAACAACAGTAAATTATTAAATTTGTGGACCAATTAAGGGTTTCATGTATATTCCATAACGGTCAAGTCATTTATAATAAAACAGGAGTGCATAAGCGAAAAGGTTGATTTCTGCAAGAATATAAAGGTGTGTAACATGCTATTTGCAATGGGGTCTAAAGCGAAACAAAAATAACAACAAATTATTGTGACTAGCGTGTAAAAAGTCGTAGCGGAAAAGCGATGTATGTGTGGGATCAAACGTATTAGTATGTAGGTAGTATTCGGGTGATTAGTAATGTAATGGAACCTCTTGATAAGACACATTTGTATTTGTGCGTAGATGATTTCCAATTTTGAATTTTCAGATCAGCCAAGCGTTTTAACTCCAAGCTCAAAACAGTAATGGTCAGCATGTATCCTGAGAAATTTTTTTGCTCTGATGTCAAATTGGGTAAGATTCGTTACCAAGTACTAACAACTATGGTTAAGTACTAACTGGAGGAACATTCCAAAACCGTTTTGACGTTTGAGAGAAAACCGGTTAGTCCAAAAATGTGGGGTAGTTTACTTTAACATCAAGAAGCGTGTAGTATACTACGTATCGCCATCAAAAAAATTACTGCCTTGAAAACTAAATGCGTTTGTTGTTGTTACAAAAAATTACATATATCAAAAGACAGAAGATCTTTACCCCAGTATTAATATTAATATGCGTGGTTGGTCAATGGCAAATTTGTGTTACTACTCCGAATCCCTGTTTCATACCCTAGTTAAGTAACAGAATGTATCAAAATTATTGTGATAAATAGAGATCGTCACACGAAGATCATAAACTAGGCGATGACATCATAAAGATATCTTTTGAAGTACCGTCATCGCTACGCAAACGATTCGACGTTTATGTCGATAAAATGAATGTATATATGTCATCAGATGATAGTCCATTGCAGGTTTCTTTTGTGCCTGATTCCAACAATCTAAAAACGTTGTTGCCCCCCCCCCCCCCCACGCACGCACGCACGCCAACTGTAAAATTAACGGCTAATTATATTTAATAATGGGTTGCTTTGTAGCACTCTCTACAACAGTAACAGTAGGGGAAAGAGGCTGAGCAATCGCGTTATTAGTCAATATTCTCAAACATAACATGTTTACTAGTTTTGCTAAAGTTATACTTTATCATAAACTATATCAGAATCTTAATGTAAGTTTTCAACTTTGATTCATTCACTAGAATATTCTCAACGGCCTAGTCTGTATTATGTCTTACAATGACAAGATAGATTTTCCACCTTGCTCATTCTATTGACCCTTGATATTCCATCTCATCATTTATATATAGTGTTGCTATTAATAACAAATACACTAACTAGAATTATGGACTTGCGAGTGACAGTCCAGGATATCTTCCAGAAATGAGAACATGATCATCTCTTTTTGAGTTTCTTCGTGTGAATTTCCTTATCTAATGGTTAAAGAGCGTAAATAAAACTATAAGAGTGCTAAATATATCAAATAAACTTCCATAATCAAAAATCTTTGTTTAGATGGTCACTTCCCTCAATAAAAGGAATTGGGAATGCAATATAGATTGATTCGAGTCAGATACGTATAATAGTATCCATTTTCGTTTTTAAAGTTTTAGAACTACTCCATAAATTTTTTCCTGTTTTATTGCGTTTCCAATTATACAAACTTGTTTCTAGAAATCAAGCACACGTGTCAGTAAAAATAATAATATAATATGGCTTTCTTCTTTCCGATTCAGATGTCCTAATCTCGTTGTATTAAAGACTTTCGACATTGGCTATGAGTTACAGCTTAAAGTTATCAAATTTTACAATGTTTAGAGCCAGAGCGTAACAAACAGCCTTGTAAATTTCAGTTGCTTGTGTACAAACAAGCGAGGGTGTTTATTTTCAGCTGTATGAATGATTACATAACAAGGTGTCGCATGATGTCGAACACAAAAATAAATTGTAAATTATTTAAATTGATAGGTCTGTCCCGGCTGATAGACAACCGTATATCAAAAATACGTTCCATTTTCCGTTAATTAAATTTGTTTATTTCGAGGATATAAGAAAGCGGCATCCAATGTCGGTATTCAATAGCTGATATTATCTCGATTGGATTTCAATAATGAATATCGAAAGTTCAGTATGCTACTTGCCTGAATAGAAATGTCAGTAATCATTATACAAACTCTCTAGAAAAAGCCTTCTTAGTCTCGAACACAAACGCGATAGTGCACAAAATATAGTAAATCGAGACTTTGAAATTTAGAACAAAGCTCTGCAATCCAATCGTTATATATTTTTTGATTCGCTGCATGCAAAAGAAGAAAGTATGTTTTGATGTGCTTTTTGCAAATTCCATTTCCCGTTATTCAAGAAGTAAGAATAGCGAGATGAAATATAGGTCAGTTTGGGCAGGCAATGTATCCATAATAAAGAAGTTTTTTTTTCCCCCTTCTATCGTCGTAGCTTCTCAGCATAGGTGATAAAACTGACAAAGGTTATGACTGAAAGCCACCATTCTTTGATACGTTTCCTTTGTCGAGTTTGTTGCAGTGTGCATGCATTCTCATTCTTGAGCCTGTGACATTCTATCCTTCTGGGCAAATCACTACCAAACTCGACTACTGCATATGCTATGACTGCAGCAACAGGCTTGATTGCGCATATATCGGTTGTATATGATACGTTGATAATAATAAATGAGACCAAGATGAGTATGTCATTATCAATATGCAAGATTCCGAATAATTGTCAGATGGTTGTACCTATTGTTGCATTTTGCTATGCTTATTCACATTGTCCAGAGGATATGGAAACGATAATCACATCGCAACATATTAATATATAGACAGACCCTTTCCGCTCCGAATCTCTGTACACTGTTTATTGAACAAACAGCAATGCAATACAACGCCGCCGCCCAATACGCTAAGAGATATCCTCGTTATACGCGTTCGAGGAGGGAAGATTCCCCTAATCCATCGATCACCACCGACTCGATGGACTTGCCCCCCGCGAAAATAGGTCTAATTATCGGAACTAAGGGAAGGGTACTTGCGGCAATTAGGTAACTCGACAATCATGTAGTCGGTTTAGGTGATACTTGAAGAATAATAGCGAGTGTAATAATAGTGTATGATGGTATCAAGAACGTTTTTTACTAATGCTGTTCTGCTTTACACCTTCTGTTGTAAACCTTCCCTCGCCCTACTAAAGAGAACAATCCGGAGCACATGTATACATCGATGGCTACAAAGCCGTCATCCGTGGCAGCGAAGAAGCAATAGGAGAAGCTAGACGTCTGATTGCTCGGAAAATACGTCTAGCGCCCAATGTATATCCACATATTGGATATACCGTTCTTGAATTACCAATATGTGACACGTTGCCGAAACTCGAGTTCACGCCATACGACTACGCTAGTGTTAATAGACACCATGGAAAACAATTATACCGCGTGAAATTCTGTAATGAAGCAGACAATGAAAAAGACATTTTTGGCTCATTTGGAGACAGTTGTGACGGCAATAGTTCTCCATACCAACCACATTCTCAACTCTTATCACCTTCCGGCTCTTCAACTTTATCCTCTCGCCCTTCTTTACGCATGTTCTCCTCTTCACATTCTCGCTCGTCATCTGTTACTTCTGTTACTTCTGTCACTTCCTCCCACGCCACTTCCTCTTCTTTTCAACATCCTTTACACGTTTTAACGGATCGTCTGTCATCTCTTGCCATCACTCTCGAGAATTCCCTGCATCCTTCCACTCCCACTCCCACTCCCACTACTCCCACTACTCCCACTCTCAGTCTTGAGCGTCTTCCGGCCCAGCCCCAAGATGCTCAAACCTTTACCACTATGCAGTATCTTCCGACAGTGATCTCCGCCATATCTTCTCACCTCTTCAAAGTAAACCCCGATATATCGATCCAACATGAGACGCGCGTAACGGTATTCTTTGGCCGTGAGACGTTTTCAGAGATTGACCGGACACGCCTAAACACCATAGACGATTGGTGTGATCTGAATAGAGAAAGGCATGGATTTCACAGCAGTTTCCAACACTATGTACCTGATATGGTAAAGAACATTTCAAAGATCTTGAAGAAATTTGGGTTTGACCAAGTCATCCGAAATAAGCGAAGTAGTGGTAATATAATCAAGAAGGGTGGAAGGAATAGTGATGGCAGGAATAAAGTCGATCAAGGAATTCAGAGCATGGACAATGATATTGGGAGTATCTGTATAAACTATGACGAAGGTAATAGACTCGGAAAGAAACTTAAACTTCATTGGGATTATGAAGAAGGTAAATTTATATCCCTAGCTTGTATAACAAGATTAATTCACTATTCCTATTATCTAAATCTTTATCTCTCTACTCATCTAAAAGGCGTCTACAAAATAACCAAAACGAGTGTACAAACTCGTCGAATTGCAATTATCGATATTGTCCATGGGACATCCGCCCCCGATATACGCTTCTTGCTCAAAACACATAAAGACGAAGATATTGATCCAACAAATGTCGAGCTTATCAGTGAGTTACAAAAGCCACCGCTAGAACTGTTTGATGGAACTTACTTCCAATCGAAGCATTTGAAGAAGCGGCTTAGGATTGACTCGATCCGACAATCAATAGTGAAGCAAAAGTTTGTGTGAGTTGAATTTTTTGTCCTGCAATTGGAGAATTGAAAGAGTGACTACGAAATTGATAAATACTGTGTTATTAATGTACTGACTCTTTGCAATATCCATGACAAATTTTACAGCAATGACAGATTTCAATTAAGTATAATCACGAACCGGAAGGAAGCACGAATATCTCCAAGCATTCTTTCGGAGCCGATGGAAGAGCAAACGGTTCATCTAAAACATCTTTCATGGAAAATGTATCAAACCAACGACGAAATACGTCAGGTTTTTGATAGACAATCGCTTGAGCATAGTATTAGAGAAACCGTGGCGTTCGCAAGAAAGATTTGCAGGATTCTCGATTCTTGAGAGATGAGAGTCATGTTGGCAACACGTTAATATTGAAACCATAAGAATTTTCAGTTGTGTATATTGGTAAATAAAATCAACCTACGTGAGCCAAAAACTCGGTTAACAACATATTGACAACTAAAGTAACTCGAAAAATGTACCACGAGGTAGATAGAATTAGCAGAGAGATCAGAATTCTCGATATTACACGTGACAAATGTATATGCTGGACATGAACGCATGTATATTATATAATATGAGGCCAATATTGCTCAGTCTCCTCCCGCACATAATTTACTTTCTTTCCGGTCTGATCAGAAATACAATCTCGTCATCGTTCATGTAATGTCCAACTATGAAATTTCGCATGGTAATGACATATTAAGTGTCAAGATGTGGGAATCTTGCCAACTCGCGTTATCTAATATTGCACCAGCTAGAACCCATTATTGTGCTAGTAAAAGTACTTATGGATTACAAGTAGATGGACTATTAATAACCCTAGAGAAGTAAACAAGCCGACCGACTACTAAAAATAAAAAAAGTTTTTGGTGAGATAACTCAGCAAGCAACCAAGTAGGGTTTGGCAATCCCAGACGCATCCAAAAATTGCATAGCTTGAACGGGCTACCGAACCGAACCCCGACGCATCCAAGACCCAGTCGCAAGCAACCGAGTAGGGTTCGAGCAATCCCAGACGCATCCAAAGATCGCATAAGAACTATAGTTCGCAAGAACGGCAATCGAACAGTTAACCTAAACCCAGACGCATCCAAGCTTGGAAAGTGCAATCCCAGACGTATCCAAGATTGTATAACTTGAACGAGTTACCGAACCGAACCCCGACGCATCCAAGACCCAGTCACTTGTAAGCAACCGAGTAGGGTTCGAGCAATCCCAGACGCATCCAAAGATCGCATAAGAACTATAGTTCGCAAGAACGGCAATCGAACAGTTAACCTAAACCCAGACGCATCCAAGCTTGGAAAGTGCAATCCCAGACGTATCCAAGATTGTATAACTTGAACGAGTTACCGAACCGAACCCCGACGCATCCAAGACCCAGTCACTTGTAAGCAACCGAGTAGGGTTCGAGCGATCCCAGACGCATCCAAAGATCGCATAAGAACTATAGTTCGCAAGAACGGTATCCAAACAGCCAAACTCAAACCCCGACATCCAAGACTCGGTTACTTGCCTGTATAGTTACTGATTCGACTTGTTTATTGCGACGCGTTTACGTTGAGTAGACGAGGAGAAGAGGTAAAGTATTTATCCGCTTGTTACCGCGTTATTCGCATGTGATTCTGTAGGACAGCAGATCTTAGAAAAATACAGTAACATCTTCACAATCTGATGATCACGTCATTTCACCAATGAATGTTGCACTTCCTAATTAGGATTAACACCAATTTAGGTTTGTGGAATATCGATTAAAGACACAAGAAGCACTCGGGGAACTAACTAGTCATTAGGAGCAGGAAGACAACCATTATTAGAGCTCTGCCTTTACTAACGTTATTACAGCGTTCCAACAACTGAAGAAATGATATTTACTTCAGAGGTAACATATTCACATCGTTTACAAAGGGGGTGAAGTTTACATTGGATAGCGTTTTGGTAGACATTGCCCTCAAATACAGCACAACCCGTAGAAAGTGCATTGATATATTTCGCGAAACTCTCATTGTGAAACGACAAGACTTGTCAAGTAAGCAGACTAAAAGTTCTTTAGTAGTATCGCCAAGAGTGTATTGATGCCTGATGACTTTGTCTCAGCGCCTTCTAATTGTCTCCTAACTCGTTCTGATATTTACAAGCTGTCTGTTCCATGCAAGATTTTGCTGGCGTAAACGAAAACATTTATACTGATTAATAAATCTGTAATTGCTGAGCATATCTTTGTCATCATCCGTGTTATCCGCATTATCGTAATGCTGGAATATGAATTGAGCAGCCCTACACTAGATGGGCTTGTAAGGATGTCCTTACGCATCAACTATTCGTTCGTCAAATGCATTGGAAAGTTAATCTAATTGCCTTATTTATAAAATATGCGATCCTCTTCTCTGCTAAAATCGTACAACAAAATTATTATTCTGCATAATGGTTTCGAGTTCTTTTCTTAATATCCCAGCAATACGTAATAGTTCTCATCTTATGGCAGGTTGGACAAGCTTTAACGATTTGACTAAAAGACTCACAGCAAAATAGTCGTAATTAGATTCATTACAACATTAGTTCGTGAACTCATAATATAAGATGTTCGTTCAGTGCATGAGGAATGCGCCGTGGACAAAAGTCAATCCACTAGAGAATAAGATACGTAAATTTATCAAATCTTTAAGCCAGTTGTTCTTTTCTCTTCTCGTAAGTCATTGTTTAATAAATGCAGTCTTTCGAGGTTCGAGCTTTCGTCGTGCCCCCAGGCGTTATAAACCCAAAAGGTTGATTATATATTATTAAAAGTCACGCACAAGCATTACCACATTAGCAATAAAGATAAGCGCAACAGCCATTCAGTTTAGAGAAGGGCTGTGTAGACTGTGATTAAGAATAAGGTTGATTTCATCTTATATTTCGTTATTGCTAATATTATTGGTTGCTGTTTGTTTGTTTATCTTTACTAATGCCAAAGAACATTATAACAGGAAATAGTCCCTACAATTTGTGAACCAGTAATAATAATTTACCAACAGCGAGAAAACTTCGGCAAATGGACATATTAACGACAGATTAAGTAATTGAATTTAAATGAATGAACTTGCTCGATATCGAATAGCATCCTCTTACTATTTACTCAATGAATAGTGTCACAAATGAACACGTGAAACGTTTATACTGAACCCAAAATACGAAATAGTTTGAGTTTTATACTACTTATTCAAAATTTTTTAATATTTTTTACTCTGAAGTTTACATGCTAGTAATCAGTAATGTGCATAGAGAGAGACGGCAAACATGACAAAGCCAAATATATTTAGCAAGATCAGGACTACAAGTGAAAGCGAAAATAAAAATGACCGCAACGACAATGGGAGTGGAATTCCAGAGGAAAGGAAAATTACCAAGAATAGGGATAGAGTGATACCCACTACACCGACTTCTCCAGATGTAACCGCTCAAAACATACATTCGCGTCGTATATATTCTTCAGACATAAACCCACATCCCGCATATTCATCTCCAAAAATAAACCCACTTCAATCGCACCCACCCATTTTGCGCCAAAACTCCCTCCCAACATTCACGACCTCCAACTCTTCCACGACCAACAACTCGGCCGAAAAGATGTTTCTGAAATTCTATCGCGAAGCTGAATCTATCTCTGACATCAATCAGAGATGTACATTCCTCCTCAATCAATGTCAAAACTTATCCGAAAAGGTCTCCAAGTACGCAAGTACCTTGAAAATATACCAAGGACAAGTCGATATTTTTGAGAAAGCGGCTGAGGCAAAGGAAAGAGATCATAAATTAAAGATGAGTAAAGAGCAAGAGAAGAGATTGAAATTTGAAAAAGAGTTGCAGACATCGAAAGCCTTGTTAGACACTTTACACCAAAATACAACATCTGTGATAAAATGGTCAGATTCAGATCCAAATAATTCTGTGTACATCTCACGAGCGCTCGAATCGTTGCTCGAGCCACTTTTAGAGATAGGCCATACTAAACGTCATGTTGACATTAATCAGGCTCAAGCAGCGGAATTGCTAAAAATGTATAATTGTAAAATGAAAGTCGGGGAGCAAGGATTTAAAGTGGTATTGAGCTGCGCTCTGCAACGACTGGTCGTTGAGAGCGTGCTTAGCTTCATGAGCACATGGTTAGGACACGTTGGATATCCGCAAAAGGAGAGCGTGAATGGAAAAGTGAGCAAGATTGTCGCAGAGTGGGTTAGGAGGGTAGAACAGTCGGGCGTGGGAAATACAAACGAGATTTACGGCACGGCTAATCCGGATTCGCAAGAATTCGAAATAGTAAAGCATTCAAATTATTTATTAACGATAATGGAAAATTTCAAAAATAAGTCTGATGCAAAAGGAATCCATGAGCAGACGAGAGTACTGATCAGGCAGCAGGTTTCTTCCTTGTTGGGCCAGCATGCGTTTGCACCATCTTCCCAAACCGTTTCGGGGCAACCACGTCCACACCCATTCATTTTATTCTTGACATCCGAGATCATATCGCTTGTTTCTACCTACGTCTCATATCGTTCTTTCACTTCTCGGACTTCCTTTCCATATTCACATCCTCTTTACCCCACAGTCGTATCTTTCCTTCAGTCACTAATTTCTGTAATGCATTTCCAACTCGCAACCCAAGATCCTGTACCTCAATGGAGGTTTTATGAAGCCGGGGATAGAGTCAGTCATGAAGTTATGACCGGTCCTTGGAGTCTTGACGACGAGGAGGATGATGAGGATGAGTATGAAGGAAATAAAAGTGGACATACGGGATCAACGAGGTCTTTCGGGCAGAAAAAACAAAAGAAAGGAGGATTGGAAGTTGAGATATGTTGGTTTCCAATCGTCGCATTAAATACCGACATTGTTAAGAAGCCGGATCAGAACAGAAGTATTTATTGTAAAGCGAGAGTCTGGGCACGAAAAAGTGGTCTCGATGACGGCAAATGAGAAGCGAGCAAACGAGAAAGCATGAACGATGGCTAGAAACATGTCATTTCCGATCACTCTTTCCACAACTGGGATTTCTGACGCATTATCACACTCATATATATTATTTTCGTGATTTTTGCTAAAGATGTATAAAAGCAACCATATTGTATATTAACATCTTTTATATAATATATATTTAATCAATCAAAATATTTCAATAAACAAACCTTCTTTTTCTTCTTTGCTTCAACACGTGCTTTGATATTCTCCATTCTCTTTGCTTGCCTTTCCATCTTACTCTTTTCGACGCTTTCTGCTCTCTCCTTCCTAGGAGAACGAAGCCGTATGAGATTGGCGTAAACACGGGAATTGTTCTCGCTGCAATCAGGAATAGGTAAACTCTTTATGCATTCACATACCATGCTTCATCACTTTTCTTCTTCTGCTGCTGATTGCGTTTTATCGTCTTGTTTAATAATTTGGTGTCATCTTTGACTTTCTCTCCGCGTGCTTTCTGAATCAATTTCTGCCATGTTTCCTTTTCTTTAATTTCTTCAGCCTATCAAAGAAAAGGAAAGGTTCCAGCAAGATACATGTAACGCAAATATTTGCGACTTGTGCATTGACTCCTCTTCTTATACCTTTTTAGGATCCACTTGCTTCACCTTCTCCACCTTCTTCTTCTTAGTTTCCAACTTATTCAGCATTTGTACTTCGCTAATTTTCTTGGGTTTTTTCGCCTCATCGTCAAAGTTGAGTTTACTAAAAATAATCTTTTGATCCCCTTTGCTACTTTTTTGATCGCTTCCTTCGTCTTTCTTATCTGTATCAGTATTGTTGTTACTCTTTGTCTTGGCGCCGGAATTTTCAAGCCCGTTTTTATCTATGTGATTCTTGTTATTTATTTTGTTTTTGTTTTGTTTTTGCTTAGTTTTTACTTTCTTCCCCATTTGTTTCTTTTCAACCTCATCTGACGTTGAGTTGGTTGCCATAGTAGATTTTTTGGCAGCTCGGAATTTATCAAGACGCTCAGCCACAGTTATTATTTTGTTTCCTGGTGCTTTTCGAGGTTTCTCGGGCACAAGGTTTTTTTCATCATTATTGTCGACTTTATCAGGTAAAGCGGATGGATGGTCGTTTTCCGCCTGACCGTTCAGTTGTTGTGCCAACTGCTTTTTAAGAAGTTTTTCTTGTTGTATATCGGTCACGGTTTTAAGATTTTTGGGATCGAGCTATAGATTAGAGTTAGACTTGATTGCCAAGTTCCAAATGTCATATTCTGAACATCGAGTTTTACATATTAAGATCAATCTTACCTTTAATCGCTTAGTTCTCTGTCTTTTTTCTTTCAATGCCTGTTTATCTGTTCGTTTTCTTTTGTTCGGTTGAGGCCGAATATTCTGATCTGTGTCTGAATCCTGTAACGAATTGGGAAGCAATACAGTACTTTTATAATTACAGATAGAAATACAAAAACAGACATAAAACTAATATTATTTTCGCTTACTTCTTCCCTCAATTCATTTTTAAAATAATACTTGGCTGGTATTAAACTTAGCGTTTGATCAATGTAGTCACTGTGAGACTGGATGTTAGTCTATCGAACGTCAAATAGAGAGCCAATGTGAACGTACAGTTAAGATCGTATGGTAAACCCTTTATAGTATGTGGCAAGCATGCATCTCCTCTGATGTTGAGCTTACATTAAGATCAGATAGATCGAATCCAGCAGTCATACTGTAGTTTCAACGAGCGATTCAAACTTTGGAATTTCAAAAAGATGTGCGATGATCAATTCATGTAGGAAAAAAATCCTGTTGTCGTACAAAATACTAAGTTTTATGAATAGCGATGTCGCGATGTCATTCCGATTGTATTTTATTTTTGGTTATGTTTAATATTAATATTGTTCCTCGACAGACAAATGTGCATATGTAGCGTTATTTGTATTGTGCTGATACTTATTTTTAAATAGCAGATAAGGTTTTGGAATCTCTATTTACTGTCACGTGATTTGGGTTTATAACAACTTAATTTATCACGTGGCATATAATCTATTTTCGTTCCTACTTTCGTGAAAAATAATCTTAGCAAATGTCAGTTTATCCACTATATAAAGAGATCTTCCCACCGACGAGTGTTGAGCACTGCCTGTGCGCCAAGTTTACATCCCCATATGATACAAATTTAATACTCGCCCGGAGGTCAGTACTAGAAATTTATAGATTCAGAGAAGAAGTTGATGTTGCGAGTGAATTGGCTGCTGGGGAAAATGAGGATATGGAAGTTCAGGAATTTGGTGGGGACGAAGATCAGGTAGGAAATAAGAGTTTGTAAAAGGAAGAAAAGGAATTTTTGGAGAATGAATTGAGAAGATATGGTAGGAAGGAGAAGAGAGTGGGAAGAGGGGGACGGGAAGGAGTACGGGAAGGAGGATCGACTGGAAAATCAGAAATTCAGCAGGAGTTTTGTAAGATAGCAGTATTGTAGACTTAGATAATGACAAATTTTGGGTGATTGTGAAGTCGACAAGGAAGAACAATAAAGAATTTTAAACATTATATAAGAAGCTATCAATTGTAATCAGAACCTGGTGAGATTATCACTTTCCTACAACATGGCTTGTTTCTCCAAGATAACACGAATTCTTGATACAAACGAATGATGCTTGGTATTGATTAAACCCACCTTCCAATATGTATATCATTTATATATAGAATGATGTTATAATAAGCTTCTGGTTGTCGCTACTGCCAAGAAGAAGAAGATAAAGAGTTTACCATGATGGTACTAGCCATTGCACAGTTTGTAGCTGTGAGGGGCGGAAGAAAAATACTATGATAAAGATGCAATATAATTGATCTATCGTTATTGCTCCAGCACTACTAACGATCTTGCTACTTAATTTATTGGACATGTCTTCGTAATATAACGTTATCGTCCTTTATTTCACTACACTTCTCTTCATTATAATTTATATCTCTTATACAATTTTCTTCCCACTTTCCTCTCTTTCCCGATTTTTCTTTATTCTCATTATTGTTTCGCCCCCCTCACAGAAATTCCTCTTCCCTACGTTAACCCCGGCATCAACATCCCCCGCCATGACCGCCCGACTGGAACTAGTTGCAAAATATAAATTGCATGGAAATATCATGTCGATGGGAGTGGTTACAACTATAACTTCTGCTGTTAATGGATTGGATAGTTTACTTTTGACTTTTGAGGATGCTAAGGTGCGTGCTGAAATGATGGGCGGGAGGAATGGTTAGTGAGGAATACACAATCTGAAGCGCGTTGCGAAAGCTGTACTACTGACATTCACATGCGATCCCATGGGAAAACAGTTATCGCTTTTAGAGTACTCTCTTGCAACCAACAGCATTGTTACAGTGTCAATCCATTTTTATGAAAGAGAAGATTTCAAGGTACGTGTTATTATGTGAACGCTTGACAGATCTCTTCACGATTCTATTTTGTATCCTTCCTTAGCTTATACTTTTTCTCGATGCCAACAGCGTGAATTTTTGTCAAATACCTATCCTCCAAAAGTACATGTGGATCCATCAAACAGATGTGCGGTTATGAATTTTTATGGCGATAAGTTGGCCATCTTACCGTTTTGTCAGGAAGAGACTTTACACATAGATGAAGAGGAAACTGCGAGGTAGGTCAATACTTTTGAGGCGAAGAATATTATACTTATCGAGCCGTCAACGAGTAACGATTTGAACGCTTTTTGTAGCAATCGCCCGTACGCACCAAGTTTCGTTGTTGATTTAGCTTCGATTCATCCTGAAATTAAGAACGTGATTGATATGACATTTCTTTATGACTATTATGAGCCGACTTTGGCTATTCTATTTGAAACTGTTCAGACGTGGCCTGGGTATGTGTAAAAACAAAATGCATTCTGCTCGATTATCAAAAAATTTGACTTTTGTTCACCGATCTCATCTTCCATCTCCCTAAAAATTCTTTTTCTTTTTGGCAGCAAACTTTCATCAAAGAAAGATACTTGCTCACTAATAATAGTATCTCTTGACATATCACAAAAGCATTACCCAATAATCTACTCTCCGAAACCTCTCCCGTCGTCCAGCCTCTATCTCATTCCCATTCCGCGACCGATAGGTGGCATTCTCGTAATCTTCAGCAATGGAATGATCCACATCGATCAATCATCCCCTGCGACGGGAATTGCTCTGAATGCCTTTGCATCAAGCACGACTGACTTCCCCCTATCTTATAAGTACTCTAATCTTGGAATAGCCTTAGAAAGCTGCCAGCACGTTGTATTAGACTCTTCTCGTGTAATGTTGTTCTCACGAGATGGGGATATGTATCTAGTTGAATTAATTCAGGATGGAAGAAGCGTACAGAGGATCGAGATTGAAAAAGTTGGTGCTAGTACTATATCAAGTTGTGCGTGTTCAGTGTTTGATAGATATTTTTTTCTGGGAAGTAGTCTTGGGGAGAGCTATTTGATTCAATGGGGTGAGGAGGGGAAAGAAGAAAACGGTGAGAGTAAAGAAAGGAAAAGAAGTTTGTTGGTAAGTTTGTAGATAATACTGATAACAGAGAAAGTAAAGAATGAGTATTAGGGCTAATCATTTATTTGGATTTTGTGAATGTAAACTTTGATCTTATTGACGTGAATATTACGACTTGTTAGGTTAGAAGGAATACTGCAGAACTCGATGCCGGTAAGTCTCTAATATTTTCTTTACAGTTCCTATTCCTTCAACTGATGTGTTGACGAGTACAATTCCATCTGCCCTTGGTCCATTTATTTCCGATTTCAAAGACTTGTATGGAACTGACAGTCGAACGAGCACAATAATTACATCAACAGAAACAGAGAGCAAGAAGACTGGTTCGGGAGGCCTCTGGTTTCGGGTTTGTGATACTCTGATCAACGTCGGGCCTATCGTCGACATGACAGTAGGCGAGCCAACATATGGAGAGGTTAGTGACTTGTATGATGATTGGAAAGCAATGAGGAACGTGTAAAAAAAGAGCCAAGAAAATGTTTATCTAAAGTTGTCTGTTTCCTGAACAGGGTGATATGAATCACAACGTAAGAAAAGACGTAGAGTTAGTTACTTGCTCAGGCTATGGCAAGACAGGATCTTTGTGCGTTTTTCATGTAAGTAGTAATAATGTTATATTTTACTAATTCTCGCAATCGAATCAGACTAACATTGATTTTATCCATCTAAGCGTGCAATCATTCCTCGAGTTCTTTCCTCGTTCGACCTTAGTGAATGCAATGACATGTGGACAGTCCGATGTCGGAAGGAATTCATTTACGAAGGAGTGAGATTCGATTTTGGTAAAGCCGGGAGTAGTATGGAAGACAGTCAATCGGAAACATTTGATAAATATTTGTTTATATCCAAAAACACGAGAACAATGGTATGGCGAAAACGAAGAAAGAAGGATTTTTTTTAAAATTTTACATTCATTAACGTGATTAATATGTATAGGTACTTATGACAGGGGAGGATATACAAGAACTCGATAATGCAGGCTTTTATACCGAAGGCCCAACGATATCGGTCGGAACTTTGTTTAATGAAACCCGTATAGTGCAAGTGTATGCCAATGGGATCAGCCTTCTTAATGCTGGTGATTATTCAGTAATTTTACCAAAAACTTTGCGTATTATCTTCTTGTTACTTACATTTTGTTTTTATAGATGGTGTTATAACTCAATCAATACCATTCAGTAATGATTCTGAAAATGCAGTCATAGTCAGTGCACATATTGTTGATCCATATATATTATTATTATGTGAAGATGGATCGATTAAATTATTAAAAGCAGATGATGCTTCAAATGAGGTCGTTTTCTGCAAATTGACAAGTGATGCTAATGTAAGTGATAGCAACTTTTTGGATTGTTATAATGAGCGTATATTATTTAACACTGTCAAACATCTCTCTATTTGTTTAATATGTTGTCCATACTGCTTGATTGATTCTCATAGGCAACGGCAATAGTCTCATGTTGCTTGTACCGTGACGAGTCGGACTTATTTACTCTATACAGAGATTTAACTCAATACCTCCCGTCAAAGCCACTTCAACCCAGAAAAAAGCCTCCTGTCTCACCACAACCCGAAAACCATAACTCTCCCCAAGTAGCATCACAAAAATTGCATGATCTGGACGATGATATAGACAATGAGCTGTATGGAGACGATAATATCATAGAAGATGTAGTAATAGATAAAGCAGACAACGTAGGAGAAAAGGAAGAAGTGCGAGAGGAAAAGAGTGAAGAAAACGGGAGGATGGAGATGCAGGTAGAAAAAGAAGAGGGAGCAGGGAAAGAAGAGTTAAAAGAAGACAGGAACGTGACAGAACATAATGTTAGTGGGCTTATGGAAGATGAGACTAAGGCGACTTTTTGGGCTGTGGTATTGAGGATTGACGGAGCTTTGGAGGTTAGTATGTGAAGGAAATAATCAGCATGTACTGGTGAATGTGATGCTTGGGCATTATTCGTACAGATATTTGGCCGCTTCCCATGACTTAATCATTAACAAACTGTCAATCGTTATTGGGCATTCAGATCTACCAACTACCGGAATTTCAAGAAGTTTTTTACTTTCCAAACTTTGATAGTGCGCCACAAGTTTTATCAGATGTTACTTCACGCCAGAATGTCAAAGCATCGGGACAATCGACAGAAATGGTTGAAATACTAATGACATCTCTCGGAGAGAAAAAGAAATCCCCATATTTAATAGTATGTATTGTCTGCATTGCTATTCAATCAACCATTCCGTCATTTTTACGAATCATCTCACGAATACTTCATCACCATTATTATAACCCAAGGTTCGCACGCGCCTAGGCGACATTCTAATCTACTCAGCCTTTCGTTCCTGGACCTCTTCTGACACGACTCCCCTCAACTTCTTTCTTTCCACAAACCCCAATCCAACCACACCAACCACACCTACAGCCTCTTATATCCCAACTCGACTGGCTCTCCGCTTTTCTCGTATTCACCACGAGTACATAGCTCGAGATCCCATCCACGCCGACACTGAAGATAAACCCGTGTCTAACCGCACTTACCCTTATAACCCTGACGAGTCTTGGTCCGAGACTTCAAATTCTTCATCCTCTTTACAGTCGATAATGAAGTCGATAAAAAGAAAATTGATTCCGTTTAGAAATGTAAAGGGCTTTGCGGGCGTATTTGTCCCTGGTGCTAGGCCAGTATGGGTGATTTGCGGCGCAAAATGTTATGTTAGGGTGCTGCCGATGGGTGGTGAGGATGGGATTAAAGCCTTTACACAATTTCACAATGTTAATTGTGTTCACGGGTTTCTATATTCTAATGTTGAGGTACGGTTTAGCTTTTTGATTTGGAAAAGAAGGTCTTTTAGACTGACTGTGATAGAAGATGTTTATGAACGTAAACGAAATCGAGTGTCTGTTAACTATTATCTACATGGATGGCTACGTTTACTCTTAATTTTTGCTTTGCTAAACAGGATGTCTGTCGAATGGGCATTCTTCCATCTGACTTTACATACGATCTTGAATGGCCCGTGAAAAAGATAAATCTTGGGAGGTCAGTCCACGGTATAGAATATCATCCGGATATGCAAGTTCATGCATTGTTATCGTCAGTCACAGTTTCGTTTAGACTTCATGACGATAACGGAGAGCCAATTGTTGGAGAATATGGTATGTTATATATCATAATTCTTGACGTAGTTACTAAGGATTTGAGAGTGCTATATTTTGCAAGATTAATATACCGGTGCATTGACTTTTTTTTTTTCAGAGGATCCGAATTTTTCACCCAAGTCCCAAAAATTTACTCTTGAACTCATTTCACCTGTCACTTGGGAGACAGTCGACAGGTTAGTCGAATAACTTGTGGTCTTTACAACATTTAAGAAAAACTATTGATTAGAGGTTACCGTTATATCTTAATGATAGACATGATTTCAATGAAGACGAACAAGGTCTTTGTATCAAATGTGTCAGTCTACAGACAAAGTCAACTGCAAGTGGAAGGAAAGCGTTCATTGCTGTTGGGACGGGATATTTCAGAGGAGAGGATGTTGGAATGCGTGGAACTGTATGTTATATTGAATTTACACTTGTAAGAAATGCTTCCATATTGTATGACTTCTAATGATATAACCTATCTCCTTAATAGATTTACGTATATGAAATAATTGAAGTAGTCCCTGAACCCGACAATCCACAAACAAATCATAAATTCAAGCTGTTGTGCTTTGAAGATGTCAAAGGATCCGTCTCTGCTATCTGTGATGTGAATGGCTACTTATTGACTTGCGTTGGACCAAAGGTAACTCATGCGAATTATACGAAAAACACATATTCATAGATTGCTTTGTCTAAATTGTCATTGTTTATGTAGATTTTTATTCGTGCATTTGAAGACAACGACCGATTAATCAGTGTCGCATTTATTGACATTCAAATATATGCAACATGTGTTTCTCCCATAAAAGATTTTATTTTGTTAGGAGATATATATAATAGCGTCTGGTTCTTAGGATTTCAAGTAAGCAGATTACTAACCTCAAGTGCTGAACATAATGTTTTCGCCAATAATTTATTAAATCAATTTGTTTTTTTAGGAAGAGCCAGCAAAACTAGCCCTTCTTGGAAAAGATTACCACAAACTCTCAGTAATTGCAGCAAATTACATATTAGATGACCGAGTACTTTACTTTGTCGTTGCAGACAACGACAAAAACATACATCTATTCCAATACGCGCCATACAGTAATATCACGTTAACATTTGCAATTTTCTTGTTTCATTCGCAAGACGTTCAACTGACTATTGCCTCCAATACTTCATAATTCGTAGATTTACAATCGTTTGCAGGGCAGAAACTTGTTCGTCGAGGTGATTTCCATGTGGGAGCACAGATCAATACCATGGCTAGGGTAAAGCGACGAGAGATTGTAAGGAGAGATAATCCTGGAACGGATCAAATGATGATGACCGACGAAGAGAGTGAATCTTTTGCTGAATTGTGCTTGTGTGGTGAGTGGTCACGGGCGAACATGTGGGGAACGGTTGTGCTAATTAAGTGGATCGACCAAAGATGTATGTTAATAAAGCCAAGTATTAATGAAATAAAAATATTGTACAGGAACACTGGATGGCAGTATCGGAATGGTAACACCAATACCGGAGAAAATGTACAAGAGAATGCAGTTATTGCATGCACAAATGGTTAATGGCATTCCGCATCCTGCTGGGTTAAATCCCAAATCATTTAGGTAATGTGCACCAGTTATCATACCTGCCCTTCCACACCCGCTGACAACAAGGATCTAAATATATCTTGCATGTTTGTCTTGTGTTCTCGCATTATCCAATATCCTGACACTTCTAGACTTCTTCAATCAAAATTACGCCTTCTCCAAAATCCAGTGAAGTCAATTTTAGATGGTGACCTTATTTTTGAGTTCCCATCACTTGCACAAAACAGACAGCGTGAAATGACAAAGCAAATTGGTACGAGCGTTGAGAGGGTTATGGATGATTTGCTAACTATGCAGATTGGACTTGATCACTTTTAGATCCGGAGCGAAATATGGGGACTTTAGATGGAAGATAGAAAATGATGAGTAGACCTGTCTTTCCATAGAGAATACAATTTTTTGCGATCGTGACATTTGTTGGATAAACTTAGACACAATTTTTATTATATGAAGTGTTGTTAATATTTAGTGTGTGAAGGCTGTCCACTCTGTTGGTTCGAATTAATAATAATGTCTATTTTATAACCCGTGACATTACACTTGAAACGTTTAAATCTTTTGGATGCCGCGACTCACCAAATCGAACAAATTCAGACTATTTTTATGTCCTGACCCACGCTTCCTACCCCGAGTACAAAACGAATATTGATTGAACGGGGTGGGGTCACATAGAGCACAAGTTGATTTTTAAAAAGACGCGTCTGTATTTGTTTGGACGATTAAATTACTTACGAATTATAATGCCAAGGGCCAGCAAAGTATTCCAGTTTATAATCATTTCAGCAGATAAAACGACTACTATCGTCAAGCTCGGGTAATTTCCGCTTTGATGAATAAAGTTTTTTTCAATAAAAACAGAAGCACGATCAACGTCAAGATCTGATTTCAAGAACCATGGGTTAAGATATTACGAACTTTGTTTATTCGCTTGTCTATGGTAGGTCTAACGCGTGTCTCCGCCAAAGGTCGGTAATCCTATCATCGTTTTCTTAGATAGCAGCTTGTTACACACTCGATTATTGCTATATTCATCACGGATTCTTTGACGATAAAAACTTATTATAGTCTGACAAAGAGATGTTATATGGCTGGTAACGATAATTAGCACAACCTGACGAAATGAATAGTTGAAAAGCATAGTTTATGGACAGTTTTTGTATAGGATATAAAGACAAGCATGTAAACTTAAATTGATGTTATTACTTTTATCTGTTTATTCTGACATCTTTTTATAGAGAACGTACGCGTAATCTGTTATAATGAACTTTGGCATAACGAAGATCTGTTTACCTCCAAATCTACCATTAAATGATTATGATCTTGGTTATAAGGGATATTTTACACACAGAAAACCCAGAAGCCACTTTCTTAAGCTAACGAAATAAAATTCAAAAGATAGAATAATGACCCCAAAACCGAGACCTGAACAACGGAGTATATAACCTTTTTTCCCTTTATCTTGATGTTACGATAACTTCTACGACAATATTATTTAATATCGACCGTCACGCAATCACGGATATTAAACTCCAGCTTTAGCCTATATCTGATAAGCGGTTTGCTTCATGGCAGCCCGTCTGTTTACATGAATATAAACATTTAAAACAGTACCGTCGAACCTCGTTAATATTAATCCAATCCGAAATCCACATATTAATATCAATATAGTAAAATTACCTCGCTAAACCGGATATTAATAATAAATCTACTCTAAACCGTAAACCGAAGACTTTGCAAGAACAGCTATATTGAATCAATGACATGAGAATCAAACATATGGAAGATATGGCAAGACCACAAAGTCAGTTACAAGCAGCGCGAACAAAAAAGAAAAGCTTCTGGGGACGGGTGTGTTCATTTTTTGGATTTTAAATAAGGCTCGCGCAAGCATGGCACGAGGAGGGCCCGAATACAAGATAATTGTATGAATAATGTCTTATACTGCCTACTTGTTTAATAGATTTTAGATGACATAATACATATGTACCATTTGTTAGCGGGAAAAACTTCATAATTGTTGGTTTCGAAAAAAGATTTTTTCTACAATAAACTTTTGTTCTATTTATGTATTTAACCCAAATCTTCAACTAATAGAACATTTACAGACTTATATTAAGCTGAAACTATGTTTTTGGGCAAAGCTGATAAGTACGGCACATAATAATAATAGTCATTGTTTCATTTTGTCTCGATTTCCTGCCCTTTTTAAATATAAAGCGGTTTCTTGGTCTATTCCCCTATTTATTTCCATCAAAATATGGTGCTCCCTTACAATGTAACATACGAATATTGACCTTTAACAGACTCTACTCCTGCTAAATAAGTTGGTGATTTTTAATTAGAGTTTTCGGTATTGTGACATTATAAGATTCCATTTAGCACGATCCTATTACTCAAGATTTCTATTCTGATAGCCCATAGGTAAGGGGTATAAATACAGTAAGGACACGAAGGTCATAAAAGATTGTTGGCTAGCGATTTCTGAGCTATTTATATCTTTCGATTGTTTCGCTGGTTACGTACTTTACAGAAACTTGCATTTTTTAAAAATGTCTCGATGATAACCATGTGACATTTATAAATCTCATGGGCACATACATCTTCATGATACAGTGAACTCTCCCTAAATGCACGCCTTGGGACCGTAAGTGTGAGAGCGTGCATTTAGGGAATAATGCAAAAACGTGCATTTAGGGAGAGTATAGTAAATTCACGTGATTCCGATACTTTATCCATTTATTGGTTAAAATATTGATCAATGCTTGTTTGTCGCATCGTATTA